ACGTACTACGTACTACGTACGTACTACTACGTACGTACGTACGTACGTACGTACGTACGTACGTACTACGTACTACTACTACGTCTCTCTCTCTCTCTCTCTCTCTCTCTCTCTCTCTCTCTCTCTCTCTCTCTCTCTCTCTCTCTCTCTCTCTCTCTCTCTCTCTCTCTGGGACAGTGAAATGGAAATCATTCACCTTACTCTCATGGTGAAATTTTTTTACAATTGACAAATCAGAAAGTAAGCGACTGCGTTATTAGTGGTTACCATTGAGTTTCAAATGTTAACCATAGTTTTCTTAGATTAATTAATTGTTTCTCTCTCTTTCTTTGTTTGTTTTTTTTTTTTTGGTATTTAATCCTCTCTTCTGTAGGGTGGTAAATATCAAATGTGAAGCATTTACTCTATATGGAATGAATTGGTCTAAGTTCTCATTGAATATATTGAATCCCATCATGGTAACACAGCAGAAAGAAGGCCTTAATAAGCCCCCCCCATGTCAAACCCTAGTGCTCCGTCATGGCTGTATGAGTTTGTTATCATTAAGTACTTGTTTTGAATGCCCAAAAAGACATCTCTGACTCAGGAATAGCATAACCAAGGTAGCCAAAAATAAAGAAGAGGATTATCATCCCCTTGTATTGTGCCTTTCTGTCTCGTAACTATCATCCAATACATAAGAGAAGCTAAGACTCTGCATCACTAGCATCAAGCTAAATCCAAGAATTAGGTGGTGGATTAAGTCTGCAAGCAAGTTTCTTCGAGGAAAGCACAAATTAAGCAATTGGGACGACTATAGTACCAACAATTGGTACAGATGGTCATGAAGATTGGGAAACCAACAATCCCTCGGTCATATTTGTTGGGTGAGTGTGGCTACTAAAGGTCTTATGCGTGCTTGTAAAACAAAATGACATAGTGGAACATGAACTCAATGAGAGTATGGTTCCTCGTGGACCATACTAAGCAAACGATATTTGCTGATACCGGACTGAGCTTGACGAGAAAAACCAGTTGGTTGGAAAAAACCTATGTTACCTGGGCAAAAAAAACTATCTAATAAGGGTTCTAATAGGTCATCCCTTGATGAGGTCAGAGTATGCCCTGATGAGTGAGCCGAGGGATTGTGTGACCCTTGCGTGTGATGGTGGCCTTCAAAGACGGGGGTCAAAGCCTCATCCACGAGCCATCACACGGCATGCATATATGATAGCCGTTCCGAAAAGCAAACCACCTTTCAGGGTGAAGTTTATGCATGTGTGAGAGATACCCCTATACGCCATACGAGTTGTGGTCGCATCAGGTCTAGGTGACCTTTGTACGTCTCTAGAGGAGAACCTAAAATCTACAAACTAGGATTACGACCCCTTGGCTCTTCAATCAGACTTTGGTGATCCACTAATGAATCCCTGCTTGGATTGTGGGTCATGGGAATCACTAGGTCGGTTTGACAAAGCAAGTGTGGACTGCAGTCCACTGTTGAAGGTGGAGTGTCGCAGCGGTTATTTATTTAATTCCTAGACCAAATGGATCTTTTTTCCCATCTAATGAATTTAATTATGTTTGTTTTAAGGGTGCAATTGGCATACGGATGCATATGTAGTTGTCGAGGTAAGGTGCACCGTCAAATTTTATCATGGCATATAATGTTGACGTAAAAATGTTCTTAGGATTATCTCAAAATCTATTTTTATATCTAATTATGAAATTTTAAACTTCAAAAATAGTTAAAATCAACTAGATCTATAAACATATGAAAATCTTGAAAATGAACGGTGTAGATAATATGTTGTAAAATACACTATTTCTGAGACTTAAAATCTTTTTATTTTTCATGATCATAAATCTAGATGTTGAGATGATCAATCAAATTTTCAACATTAAAACTACCTTTTCCAATGGATTTTTGAGATGCATCCGTAGTTCTACATTATAAGGTTGTATCCATATATAAACTTTTTCCTTGTTTTAATGATATATGATTTTTAGAGTTATTATTTGAATTTTTCTAGATCTCTGGATATTTTATTTATCAAATTTAGATTTATATAAACAAATATATTGATTTAAATATTCAAATTTCATTTTATGGATTTCGAAAAATCATAAAATTAATTTTAATAATTTTAGTATTGCATGGGAGGCCCAATATGTTAATGGGCCCACCATTATTTGTGGGTGGGGCCCATGAAGTACCACCTAGGGTGGCACACCCCACCCTAATGAAACTTTCCTTGTGTTAGTTCAAGCTTTGGCTTGAAGAGAAAGTTTTGAAGTGTTTTGGAAAGAGTTTGCCTTGAGGAAGCTTTCAAAGGATTTTTGGAAAGCATGAAAAGGCTGGTGCATAATGTTGGTAAGCACTATATTATAAATGGAATTATTTTATTTAATTTCTATTGATGGAAAAATAGTTTAGGAATATAGGATAAATGTTCTAGCATCTTCCATAATGTTGATAGCCCATCTATGGAATGGAATGCTCAAATCTCTCACTCCACAAGTCACCCAAGATTAATGGTTCTAGCATCTTCCATAATGTTTGATAGCCCACCTAAAATACCCTAATCTTTTTCAAAGCATATAAAAAGGGATTGTCTCTACCCACAATCTCTACACCTTATCTTTCTATCTCTCTCTCTCTCTCTCTCTCTCTCTCTCAAAAAAAGTTTATCTCTTTCATGAAAGCCCAAAGGGGGCATGCCCCACTCTCTCATCTTTGAGATCTCTCTCTCCCACATTGTGAAAGAACCTAAGGGATTTAGGCTATTGAGAGTTGTCATCTCCCTCATGGTGTCTCTCATGATCTCTCATCTCTCATTGGGGTTTTAGACTATAGGGTTGTAGTAGAAAAGATAAGTATTTCTCTCAAACTAGGTTGCTATGGCGATTCACCTAAAGGTTTGAGATTTGTGATAAAGGAGTTCATAGTTCTATTAGAGGGCTTGACCTAAACTTGCTTTTCCGGTTGAGATTGAAGGTTGATCGTTGATCCCACGCCATCGAATGGTGGTGACTCGGTGTGGAGTGTGATAAGCCCGGTTGCGATAATCTCCGGCACTCTCTTTTTTGTTTCTTGCCATATTTAATTATATTGTTTTTATATTCTCAATTATAAGAATTGTGGATATTTTTTTTGTTTAAAGAAAATTGGTTTAATGGCATCAAGGTTTTTAAGATCTTGGATTTGTTAGTTTTATTTTCTTTGAAGCAAGAGTTATTAAAATAAGACTACTTGTAAGTGATCTTTGCCAAAAGAAAAGAAAAAGAAAAAAAAATGGGTGAAAAGAAGAAAAATAAAAAAAATATATTCCCCGGCAAGATCGAGTTAGTCTTTCTTTCAATATTAGGGCTGTGAACTCCAGATTCAGTAGATTCTGATTCTCACCTTGTTTCCACCAAGTTTTATTTGTTAGCCACAGATGTATAGAATTTTGAGTATCCCTCACCCTCCGAGCGAATCTTATATATTGCTCCCTTGTGAGGGAGAACATTCTTGTACTTGTAAATTCTCCTTTTTAATTAAAGTTTTTTTTTTTTTTGATAAAGTTAAACCTTAAACTGATAAAAGGAGTGATGGGCGATCCACTGTGCGGATGCTCCAAAGGTAAGAGAGAAAAAAGAAAACAGGAAACGAAAAAGACCTTCTTAAGAAAGGTTACAACAAAAGCAACCCAAAATAAGACGATGCTCCCAAAAAGTTCTATGAGCCAGCGATACTTGCCGCTGCTTTAGCCAGGGTACTAAATCTTTTCTTTGAACCTTAAGAGTACAAAATTCTTACATCAAGGAAACATGGGAAGATAACGATAATATAAACAGTAGTAATAATAATAATAATAATTCCTGCTGGCACATATCATCAGCTACACCAAAGAGATAAATAATGTTATGATGCTTCATTTTGTTGGATCAGTAAGTCCATCCAAGCGACGAAACATCTTTCTTTTCTTTTCTTTTTTCTTTCTAAATTCCAGTCACTTTGACTGAAAAGGAATTCATTTTTCTGAAAAAATCTAAGACTCCTTTACTAAATGGACTTTTATTTTACGAAAGAAAGGGAAAAGAAGGGGGGAGGCATCAGAAAAAGGAGAAAGGAGGAGGAGGTGTCATTTGGGAAGAAGCTCCAAAAATCTGGTTTCCAGCAAAATTAAATGCAGTGATTGTCATGAAAGGCCTGTCACAAGTCAATGAAAAGTAGACATTGCATGGGATGTTATACACATTTTCCTACAAAGTGACTGATAAAAACTTCCCTATTCCTAAAAATTTGCCCATTCTTTAATTCGTTGAGTTCTATACATTTTTTCAAATTTTTCTTTTTCTTATGTTCTACTATTCCATTGCAACATTTTCTATGTTCAGTGGATCTATTTTGTCTAAATTAAACCATAGATAGAAAACACCAACTGAATGACTGGTCCATCATTAAATCTATAAAAGATTGTATAAATAGAAAATAGAAATAAATACAGCTTTTGACAAGGCTTTCAGAGCACTATTAACATAACAAACAACAAAATATTTATGCAATCTCATGCCGCCGTG